TGTAGGGAAGACGTTAGCATCTGATGAAGTAGGTTGTCGTCTGTGAAAACTCATACCTCCTTGAAGCAGTTAGACTCTAAGGGTGCCTATACATGAGCAGGAAGACTGCTCCGACGCACTGGAATTGCAGTGATAAACCAAGTCTGCTGGAACATGGCAATTACCGTGCTCTAGCAGCCTCCTGCACCTCGTGCATCAGCATCCCCGTGCTTCAAAATGGCGGCAGGGGCGCTTTAACTAAAACTTATTTGATGAGCTTTAGATAAAGTGCCCCCACAGCCATTTTGTATATATATATATATATATATCACTACCACCAATGCAAGTGATGAGCTTGTATCGTTCTGTTAATCTTTGCTGGTTTTGGTACTTTCCCTTTTCACCCATTCCCAGGCCACACATCTGCTTTGTTAGGCTACAGCAGTTGGACTGCTAGAGCACAGGCTCCTTAGGACATGAACTCTGCTACTTCTCTGTACAGCCTATGGCATAATGTGGCCCAGTCCTTTACCTACTACCTGCTAGATACATCAGTTCTGAAATACTAGTTCTGCTAAACTTGTACAGCTTTCTATAGTCCAATGCTTTGCAATGAAAGCTGTATTTCTTCCACAAAAGGAGATTTCAACACATTTCATTAAAACTCTCCAAATAAATACTGCCGATTTAAAATTGTACCTAGTGGTGATAACAGGAGAATCATTATCTCTGAAGGTTTTGTTCCCCCAGATATTTGCCAACTGGAATCAAGTGAAAATGTACAGCTATTTTTCCCATCACGATTTAAAAAAATTGACCCATGTGACAGAATTCAACTGGCTCTTAATTTAAACATAAAAAAGACTGAGGTAAAGATAAGACCAGGAAGTTCCCAAATGACAGAATCCAGGAATCTCTCTCCAACATTCAACTATATAAAACTCCAAGAGCAAGTGACAAATGAACCTGCTGAGTGTTTAGAGCTTCTAGTGGAGGAGCTCTCTCTCCTTCAACAATGACATAAACCACAGCTTTTAACAGGTAAGACTCAGGTTAATGTCACATAAATATTTACTACAGGATCTCCATTCACATGTATTCCAGAGCAGATGAGTTATCTCCCTTTCTACTGAAATAATACAGAGGAGGAAATACAGTATGTGAAAACCAGATGCCTTAATTTTAGCAGCCTACTCAAAGTCATTTTTCATTCAGGCTCCCAGGCACAAAGGCCTTCGGAGCTCATGCCTGCATTCAAAGCTAACACACAAGCAATTTACCTGAGACACCGGCAGAGAAGTTCTTTAGAGATGGTCTTTTCACAACAGTGTACGACTCTCCGACCACAAACACTTTATACAGCACAGCATTGTGATTGATGAAGCTCTGAATCACACAGGGGGGGCGGATGGCTGTCAGGCCTTCCTGGTTGAATACAATTGCCATCTAAAACACAAAACACAAATACAGTTCTCCACGAGGATTTAGGCTTTCATTTATTTTGCATTTCTCAGTTGTCTGATCACAGTGCGAGTAATGGGGAATATCTATTCAGGGATAATGCCCAAATCCCCTCTCTGTTGCTGTCTTTTATTTTATTATGTTCACTGCTGTAAGCAAGCTCTAAAACCCTCAGGATGTTATTGGCAGTGCAGCTTTCATTTTAAATTAAGTTTTTATACATACACACAATGTCATCCATCACAGTTAGTTTATTCATAACCCCGATTTTAGTTTTTATTTTGAAATCAGTAAAAGGTTTGAGTGACAAAGCCCGGAAAATACCTATCAGATTATTCAGACGCTGCCTACTAAGAAGTGCTGACCACTCCTTGACAATACAAGCTGTTTCTCTAATCGCTTCATTCAGCCTGGTTTTAACTCTCTGAAGCAATAGGGCTTCCATCACTTCACTTGAGAGAGTTCTTCATAGTCTAACAGTTCTTGCTGCTAGGAAATGCTCAGCCAACATTTTTCTTGGCTCAGTTTCATCCAATTTCTCCAAGTGTACAGACCCCTTAGATGAAGAATGCAGGCACAGGAAGAAATATGCCAGAGGAAATAATTTATGGGGCTTTAATGATGAGCAACAACCAGTTCAAACCTAGCTCATGTAACATTTAAGTAATAGTGAAGGGAAGCACTTTGAGGAGCCAGCCATAGCATCAACGTATACAACTGAGCTCTATGCTTGGACATCCAATTAAATCATCAGCCAGACACGCTTATTTCCAACTTTAATTGCTTTGAAAACTGTGCTCTCCTATTGTAATGCATGGCTTTTGTTGCTCTGAGGATGGACTATGACAATATCTCCCATCTGGAGGTGACAAGCATCAATCGGTGCAAAGCACCATGTGTGCCTGCTAACTGGCAAAGGTTGATGACAGCACTTCATATCAATGCTCCCCATTTAATGGTCAGGGACAATTCAAAGTCTGCTCTTCCTCTCTAAAGCATTATACAGGCTGTGGTTCAAGTAACTAAAAGACATGTCCCTCCAATGATACCAATGAACAGTATCAGGTGCAATGCCTGAGAGCATCTAACTTGGATGGATTTTGATAGGGAGAAGTCATTCCGAGTGAAAAAGTATTTAAAGCATGGAACTCTCCACCAGAGAAACTCCAATGGAATCAGGAGAGCGCAATGCAAGATCCTTCTGTCTTCCACAGCAGCCGACGATCTGATTTCAGTAGGGTAGGGTTTTCATGGAGGGAGAGAGAACCTCTGAGTTTAAGTGATTTGTTCTGGGTCACCAAACAGTCCAGTGGCAGAGTATGACTCATCATACCACTCTTGCTCTATATGCTCCCTGTCTCTCTTCTTTACTTCTATGATTAACTGGATCTCAGTGAAGTCAGGAGCGCCCATGGATTTTACAAATTGCATGCCATGAAACAGTTTCTTCTATCTCCTATGTACACACACCTGTCCATTTGATTTAAGTTGTACTCTTACTTTGCAGAGCTATATTTGACTTCATGTTAACTTCTCATTTTGCCCCTTTTAAGGAGGAGGTATTTTGATAAAAAATGATACTTAAAAGAAAAAGGCAAAAATCTGGCCCAGATAAGCAACAGAGTGATATCCATTCATGGTTAAAGGCCTGAGCACATGTTTGTCTCTACCCAGCTGTTAACTATTCCATTCTCTTCTATACCTAGCAGACCATATTAGATCACATAATTGTCTGTATGCATACGCAATGAATCAGTCGATTCTCTTAATGTTTTCTGAGTGCAAGTTAGCGTATGTTGTCAATGCCTACTTGCAATGATATTCTTACTCCATCTCTATTATACTAGATGCACATTAATAACCTGTTCAAGTAAGCTTCTATAGAATCATCCATCAAAATGACTCAAAGCCATAGCAACAACTTAACACATTTTTTCCCACACTGATGGCAGGGATGGCTATGATTCTCTACATTTGTAGAGGGTCCAAGACGATATTACATCATTTTATATAAAATAACAGCACCATGTAGCTCTTCATATTTTCAAGGTGCACTTTGTAAACATTATTAAAGGTGTTTCATGGGAGCCAAGATGAAAATCTATTCATTAATCCCATTTTCCAGGTGGAAAAGGGTATGTCTTCATTGCTGGAATTAGCCCAGGCTAGCCATGCCTACACGGGTCTAGCAGTCATGGAAACATGTGCACAATGTTTCTGTACTAGCCAGCATGCTTGAATAGATTCCTGGTGGGATATCCCATGGTTTTTAGCAGTGCATTAAACTGGATTTCTCCATGAATTCATTTGCAGGGTGAGTAAGCACATACGAAGCCATCATCTGTGACAGTGACATAAGAACAATGCTTTACATAAACAGCTTCCATGTGACGTTACAGAGAGTTTGGAAAGTTAAATGAAGCAACATTTGGCACCAGGAGCTTTCAGTGACAGTGTCTTTAAGGAATTAATCTGGCAAACCAGAAAATGATTCATATTCTCTGCCAATCTATTTCATTCATTCCAGTCTGCTAAACACACCAGGGTTGTTTTGGGCACGTTTCCCCACACGCTGGGTCTTACTGATGTCACACTACAGCTTTACCAAAGGCTGGTATCAACTTCTGACCAAGTGGCAGCATGAGGGGAGGATTTCTTGGACAGTATCTCTATTATAGCGCTGTGGAAATGTAGTAAAAATGGAGCACACAAAATGGGGTTAAAACGCTAAGCCAACATAGGTGACTTCCAGGGCTGAGAAAGAAGGAAGTAGGGGAAGCGGGGTGGTAAGAGAACAAATGTGCAGTCCACATGGAATGGCGGGATATCACTGGAGACTAACAGCACCTGGGGTTTGATTAGCTTGCACTCCAAGCTTGCATTAGCTGCCAAATAGGCAAGTTGCCAGCTTAGCTTGATGCCAAACCCAAGCTCAAGCCTATATCCTTAGTGAGCCAAGGAGTAAAAGCATCCACAAGTCCAAGTTAGATATTTTTCTGTGTCAACTGAAGTAGGATTTTGGGGGGCAACATCAAGGTTAAAGCTCAGGCCATCTTTGCAATAAAGACATCTTCAGAAGATTAAACAACATGCCTATGGGCACAGAGGGAGTCACTGGCAGAGGAGACAACAGAACGAGAGAGTTTCTTGCCTCTTGTGTTCAAACCATTAGAGAGACTGCCTCCTCTCAACAAAAAAAGCATTCCATACGTCTCAAGCGGCCATTCTCCACATATAGCTACTACAAGATAGGTTGCTGTTGGACCATAAATGAGCCTTAACACCACCTGCAGTTCTGCTACACAGGGGCTGAAGTGCCGTGCAGTACTCCAGGCTTGTTGCAGGGTACCATCTTGGGCAGCAGTAATCAGCTTCTGTGACAACAGCCCCACTATAAAAATATTCACATGCTGCTTCCTGCAGAAGGTTTAAATAAGTCAGATTTTTTTTTGAGAATGGAAAGAGACTCATCAAGAAGTCCATGCTGAATTCGTTAGGTGCTGAAAGTCTCATGCATTTCACAGGGCGGCTGCAGCAGAACTAGAAGCAGGGAAACAGAAATCCCACCAAAACAGGAGAAAATGTCAAGGAGTGGCCAGCAGATATGAGGCACTCCCCTAAACTCTCCCCAGAACTACACACCACATCATTGCAAAGAGGGAGTAAGATCCAGCTAAGGTTTGAGTCACAGATTTAATTATGTTTATATACTAATATCGGTCATTCATCATTTTGGTGACAGGCATCGTATTTCTCCAAATTTCACTTCACTCCAGAGCCCTTAATTCTTAGAGGTGTTGCAGCAATGCAGTGCAGACTTTAGGAGCAGCTGGAAAATGTATCTGACAATAGCTAAAGTGTTAAAGAACAATGCATTTTTATTCCAAGGGAGTAGGGCCTGGCTTTTCAGATGGGGACTTGAGAGAGGCTGGAAGCATATAGGAGAATGAGCTGAGAGATGGTTCTCTAGCTCCACGCTGTTTCCCTGTACTCACAGCCAGCCAAGATTCTTAGAGATTCCCTCACCTCAAGGATATGCAATCATTTTGATTATGGTCACCTCAGATTGGAAGCAAAGCCCAGCCCAATTTTTTTTTTTTTTTTTACAGAGCCTCTTTCCAGCTCATGAAGAGAACAGAGTATAATGTGGAACTTGGCTCCTGTCCCTTTAGTCCCGCCATAAAGAGTGTCACATGGCAGCCTGCCCTACTTATCTTGTCTCCTTTCTCTCTCAATCTCACAGAAGAGGATCAAAGATGCCACATCTCAGCACCAGTTCTCAGCACTGACACCTCACATCGGGGCACAGAGATGGTCCACAAGACAGCTCACTTAGCTTAAGCTCCCACCAAAGGAGACTCTCGTCTCACTCTGCTCCTAAGGATGGCACTTTGGACCCCAAGGTACGAGACAGGGTTAAACTGAGCCCGAGGAACAAACGTGAACAAATGTGGGTTGGGGGCAGGGGTGATGTAAGAAGTACCATTCTGACTAGTACAGCACAATAAAACTCTAGCCAAACTATTAGCAGTTATGCAGGGATTAGAAAGGAGGCAACTAAATCCCCAGGGTCAGTTACTCACCTCATGAGAGTTGGTTCCATGAGCCACTCTGGTTTTACAAACTATATAAACAGAAAAGATAACCACAGTGAATGTGTGAAATGAGCCACGTACAAACACCTTAGTGCTCAAATATAACGGTCTAACAGACCAAGACCAACTGTAACAGGACTCACTAGCTCTCTTGACATGCTGATTGCCACCATAGTCTGCTCTGAACCACAGCTTCTTACAGCTAGTTTGCAACTGGAGTTGAGTCATACCAGGTGAGAGGGAAGGCAGTAGGAGGGAAATAAATGGTCCAGCAGATAAATTTGGCGTTAAGTTTGGGAGAGGAACAAAGCATCAGCTACAAAAGACTAAAGTAGCAGCAGCAGTATTGCCAACTCTCATGATTTCTCCATGAATTATGAGATTTCAACTGTAGTTCATTTGGCAGTGATTTAAATTTCAGCTTTGGGGAAAACTCTGAGTGATTGGCTGCCTTCCACACTTCCCCAGCTCCTAGGGAAGAGCAACCAATCAGGGCCGCTGCAGGATGCAGACAGAGCTTCATTCCTTATCCTCAGGAGCCAGTACATTTCCCACATGGAGGAACAAATACCCCAGCAATTCAAGGATCCTGGATCCCTCTTCCTTATTCCCACCTGAAAATGATGAGAGCATGTACACTTTCCATCACCTCCTCCCTTCTCCATCCTGGCAACACCAGGATGGGCAAGGGGAAGAAGAAATTAGGGAGAATGGAAAACACTAAGTGCTATACGCATGCTGAGTATAGGTTGTAGCTGTGCTGGTCTAAGGACATAGGCAGACAAGGTCCTTTGGGTAAATCCAATATCTTTTATTAGACCAACTAACATAGTTGGAAAAGTTCTTCTTTGCAAGCTTTCAGGTACAAACACCCTTAGTCAGGCTGAAGATGCTTCCTCAGCCTAACGAAGGGTGTTTGTACCCAAAAGCTTGCAAAGAAGATTTTTCCCAATTATGTTAGTTGGTCTAATAAAAGATATTGGGTTTATCCAAAGAACCTTGCCCTACACACACGCTGAGGAAGAGCAATGAGAATTCAAAAAATCCACGTGCAGGAAATAAATCACAGCATGAACTTTTTAAAAGAGAACTGCATGATTTTTTTGCAATCTTGTGATTTTTTGAAGCTTTGGAGCTGGCAGTACTGCAGTACTAATTGTTGGGAGCCACTGCTTGAGTTCTGCAACCTGAGGACTACAAAGCCAGGCTGTCACTGGCCAGTCCATGATGAAAACAAGTTGGAAAGTCAAAGCCCTTCACAGTGGTGTTTAAGGGGTTGTTTTAATCTAACTTCAGGAGATCTGCATCTCTTGGTGGATGCAGTCTCTGTGAGAACAGGCATGCAGTGCTTCAGCATGGCTTTCCTTCAGTTCCCTACAAAGCAACACTGCATAATCCAGTAGACTAATATAATCAAGCAGACACTGACAAGGAAGAAAGTAAAAGTGAAGAAAGTGAAGGAAGGAAGAATTATGGGCATCCATTATGATGGGGCAGGCAATTTACTGCAGCTGCTATAGGCTGCATCCTTTGAAGCCAGTCTTCCAAGCTAGGGACACATATTACACATAAACCTGTTTAAAGTGATCAGAAACTGGTTTAAACCTGTAACAGAACAGATGTTCAGTGCACATAAACCAGTTTGAAAACGGCTGAAACTGGTTTGAGATAAACCTGGTTGAATGTAGTATCAGACGTAACTGATTTGGGTCTAACAGGTTTATGCAACGTCTGTCCTAGACCCTTTGCTGGTTTAAGTTAAATCAGACTCCCCTAGCATCCCAGTATGCCCTATGGACTGGGCAGGGCTCTGTGCCACCGTAGGCTGGCCCCTCCCCTCTGCTCCCTGGCTGGAGCTCAGCAGAGACTAAAGACATCTGCCTGGCTTCTGCCCCCACCCCCACTTACACAGACACACAACATTAGCTAGCAGACCACATGCCAGCTGCAGTCCATGCTGTGGCAGACTGGACAAAGGCACAATCAACAGGTAGCTGGTAATGTCCCTCTATTGTTTTCTTGATGGGGTGATAAACACTGAGTGAGGTAGATAAACGCTGTGTTATCAATTCTCTGCTGGGCTGGTCAGAGAGAGGAGAGACCCCTCCCTAATCCTGCTGGGGCCTGGCCATGCCCCTCTCAGCTCAGCGCTGTAGAAGGCAAGGGAGGGCCGCTCTAGCACCTGCCCCCCTCGGCTTCTAGCCTGAGCCACTGCAGGGATGTGCCTGCATGTCTGGAATGTCTGTACAGTTACAAACTGATTCGGCCTGGCCAGGTAAGACTAACCTACAAGACTGAATCAATTCAGGCTCAGGCTTTTTGAATGTCTGTCCCTAGCCCCAGTTCATTTTTTTAAAACTCTTGACACAGTAAGGGTATATTTGCAGTCTGGACTGAGATGGAAACTGATTCTTTTTCAAGAAAAATAATACTTTGTGGGGGTAACCTCCAGAGCAAGTTCAAGGCAACAGGGTAACTTCATAAGAACCATTATCTTTTCCCAGGAATGCAGTTTTGTTTATGGCAGAGATGTGCTTATAATAATGAATACCAAATCAGGAGCAAGTAAAAGCTGGCAGGGAAGGATTTGGATTCTCAGAACAACTGTTCTGTTTTAGAGTGTTTGTTTTAGAAAAGTTAATACATCTCCTAAAATCCTGATGAGACTGTTTTGGTTACAATGTCCTCCAAGGAGGGGAATTCAGAAAATAATAGAAGTAATAGGACATCTGTTTACATACTGAAAGGAAATGATAGTCCCTTCTTCTCTATGAGCTGCAAGGTATCTTCTCCACAGGCACTTGTCAGCTCCATAAAGGGTGGTGAACAGATTCTCTCATCTGCAAGACAAAAAGGGCAATCAAATGGAGATCAGGGGCTTTTGCCTCCCAGTCAACATTCACATTAGCTCTTTTCCTTCCTAGTACTTCAGCTAATAAATTAAAAAAGCGCTGGGGAGATCATCTGCTAAACCTGGACTGGGCTTCTGGGAATTTACAGCAACTGCAGGCCCTAAATTACAGACTATCTTTGGAAGAATGAATAGTTAAGGAACAACTTTTTCACAAACAGCATCACGAGAAGTGCACAGATATATCGGTCCACATCAGATCAGCACCAATAAAAGGAAAATTGACATTACTGTCAATTGCCTTTTTTGGCCAGTATACCTGATAATGTCACTGATAAATGCCATGTGCGCAGCTGCAGCATGCACATGGTATGGAGTGCAACCCAACAGCTTGGAGACCAGGGTCCTGCTGGTAAATCTGAGAGGGGAAGGGGCGTGCAGGAGAGAAGGGGTGGCAGATTGAGGCCCCATGGTGAGGGAATGAATGGGGCAGGGGCACAGGCAGATGCTGCCCAGCCAGGGTGGGGCAGGGCACAGGTCGGAGCCACAGACGGATTGTGCATGGGGGTGGGGAGGGATGGCAGCTCCTGCCGCTGCGTGCATCCCTGGGGGAGGCATGGGGGGTATGGGCCCCCCCCCCGTATTTGTGCGCAGGGTGGGGGTGGGCTGCACTTGCCTCTTCTCAGTGGGGAGGAGGGTGTATTTGGGGTGGGCAGGGGCAGGGTGGGTGGTGGCAGTGCTGGGAGGGGGGATATGGGGTGGGCTACAGCCACTCCAAAATTCACAATACTCCCCCCTCCCAGTGCTGTCACCACCACCCCCACCTCCCACCAGGAGAAGGCTGGCACAGCCCCCAACCCCCAGTGGGCAGCCCACCGTCGCCCTAAGCACAAATCCGGGCGGGGGGGGGGGACGGACACACATGCCCCCATGCCTTCGCTGGGGGTACACACAGCAGTGGGGAGCCACCCCCCAGACAAGTTGCCCGCTGCTCTGTTCCACATCTCGCCCTGCCCCAGCTCCAGCTGGGGGATGCGAAGTGACAGCTGGGTGGGAGCCCGAGGGCTGCAAACTGACCCCTCGCAGGCTATGTGCAACCTATGGGCCACCAGGTAGACAGCCCTGCCACAGAGTAGCACTTTCAAGAACATCTCAGTGATTTAGGGCATATCTTCCAGAAGATAGATATGCATATTCCGGAAGAGGAATGGGTTAGCCAAAAAAACCACCTAAAACGAAAGAGGACAGATTTCAGCAGTTATAAGGCAGGCGATCTGCACCCATCTCAGAATATCAACCAAAAACCAACACAGAAGGTAGGAGAAGAATGATCATTAGCAGCATCGCTGTCAAAAGTAAATTGCATTTTTGCATCAACTAGCAATTTTCCTTAGCAGAAAGCAAAACAAGCATGAAATCTTGATCATTTGGGTTAACATTTATACTGGACACCAACAGACACCAGCCAAGTTGTAGCCCTAATGTTCTACACACTTTATAATCAGGCTTAAAGGAATGTTCAATCTAAAAAATGAGTATAATAATTCTAACTACTTGAGTGTTCCTTGGCATCTGGAAATCACTTTATAAACATTAAAGTAATTCCCCTACCCTCACACACTATCACCATTGCGCAAATGGGAAAACTGAGGCATCAAAGGCTATAGAGGGTTTGGAACAGTAGATTTGGATTATACTTCAACAAGTTCTTGATTTATATTGGTCTGTTCTGACCACTGAGCTCTTCTTCTGCCATAAAAAGTTCTCCCCTGCAACAACTTCAGGCTTTATTTTCATGTGCCCTGAAATGAGCAGGCTTACAAAAAGATTGATGCTTTGAGGTCAGTTTCTAAAATTCAAAACAGCATCCCAGACTTCAAAGCTTTCAGCTCACTGCTATGAAAACAGAAAACAGCATCCAAAAGTGACAGGTACTTTAATATTTACAAGCTTCTGCCAGAGCAAAGTTTCTTAATTTGGATTAATTTGAGAAATCAGATTTAGTTTATGGATACATGGGAACAACTTTGGCTCTGGCAGCTTTCCCACCCTTGTGCATGAGGCTCACAAATAACTCTTGCCATCACTATGTAAATTCAGGAGCACATATGGTTCCATCTCACTTTCCTCCATTTATCTCCCAAGCAAACTGAAATGGGATATGGATATATTTTAATGCTCTGGCCAGTTGCATGACACTTGCTTGTGAAGGGGAAAAGAAAGAAAAACTCTAATTTCTTAGAATGTCTTAGTGCTTAAAAACAGCTAGATCAACAAAGAAAGGGGAAGGGAAAACCACTCTGAACCTCCAAATGCTCCAATTTGCTGCCACAGACTAGGGTTTGCAGCCCACCAGAGATCTGCCATCTAAAGGACTGCTGTGGCCTACTGAAGCCACCGGAACAGCCTGTTAACTCAATGGGAAAGCACTTTGCCCCCAAGCTTAATATCCTACCACAGCCGTGAACGCAAAGCGATTTCTTAGCATTAAAACCTGCCAGTGTTTGTGGTTAAAGGCAGTTGTTCATTTTGAAGAAACAGCCCCTAGTCACCAATTACTGTCTGGTCCAGGGTTGCAAACACTGCACTGCTTTCTGGGGAAAAGCATCTTGCTTTCTCCACCAAATCCCCATTATCAGAAAGCAAAGCCAGCTTAGTGCAGCTGCTTGCCATTGGAACTGGGGAGGGCCAATCTTGATACTGTCTCGCATCAGAGAGAACTAGTTATGTCACCATCTGAAACCGGGTCATGCGCCCAGAATTGATTTAACCCTTTGTGCTAACAGACTATCAAGAGATTCTGTGTTTGTTTGCATTCTAGCATCAGACAGTAGTGGTTGAAGTCACCATTTCTTAAGAAAACAATGGTGACCTGTTGCCAGTGGAAAACACCAGCAAGAGGAACAAGAACAGCCATAGCAAGAGTGCGTTCTAGAAGTGAGAGCAAGAGCAGTGGCCCTGGCAGCAACTCACTGCACTGACACCTTCTTGCTTCTATCTGTAAAAACTGGCACGATTGTGATTTTTCCGGCAGAGGTATAGTAAGGACAAAATAATGATGCATTTAAAAATGCTTGGATACCTGCTAATGCAGGATGTCACACACGACTCATCCTTCCTAGAGCAGTACAGGGCTATGAAAAGTCGTAACATTTAATTTTGTGGGAAATAAATCAGATATGACTCAGAATACATGCACACAGCAGGAGGCAGTTTAAGCTATATATACACTGCTATTTTTCACACTAGAATTGTACCTCACAGCATGGTAGTTAAAAGAACTATAACATTTCTTCTCCTCAGGCAGAAAGATTCAGTTATGTGTGCATGTATTTTCTGTGAGGCATTTCAAAGGAAATTAAGATAAATGTTTTTAAAAGCCAAAATATTGTTTTTTGGGACCATCCTGACTCCAAATATCTAGTTTTCAAATTTTATCCAAGCACTGGAAAATATTTGAGAGAAACAGACATGTGTGTTTAAGGAATAATAGGCCATTTTTTGTCAAAAAGCTCAAATGGTTTTGAGCAGAACACAACCGAGAGCATGTTTCAGCCAAGTGAACACTAATGAGTGGTGCCATGGGGCAGCAGAGAGATCTCTTGTCCTTATCCACTGAAGAAGTGGCCTCTACATGCTTCATTTCCTAGCAAGTCGCTATAGTTTATGGATAGCCTACAGTGACTGAACAACAAGGGAGCCCAGCTATAACATGAGGGAACGTTTTAAAAGGTGCTTTTCTTGCTACAAAACCCTGGAGAATACTTTTAAAGTAAAAACTATTGCCCACAAGGGGAACTACAATCCAGCCTTCTGGTTTCCTGGAAATCCTCCAGGCTTATTTATTATAATACTAATTAAAGCAAAGGGTAACGAGTTTATTTCCATATAAACTTGATTGTCAACAATTTCCTTTTATTGAAACCAAACCATCAGTGGAGAAATCACTTTAAAAATCTAAGGAATGCCACGATGTAACAGACTCACTAATTTCTTAAACCCTGAGTTTACTCAGTCTGAACCTGACTTTCTAGAGGTGGGTTTGCAGTCTGGTAGACTATATCAGAGACCTGAGGCTGGAAATGCAATTCTAGAGGTCTGTTTTTCAATTTAAACTAGCAAACGGTCTGGCCCCAGTCTCTTTTTACCACTATTCCTTTCTCTTCCTTTTATTCCCACCCCCCAGCATGGATGCAGATAAGAAGCATCTGGGAGACAGAGGCACATAAAAGAGCCACTAGATGATGCAACAGGGCAGAGGTGGCCTTGTTCTTTAAAGCTCTGCTGCATCTGGGCCTGAATGTGACATTTAGTTCTGGGCGTTTCTTTCTTAGAATGCCATAGCACTGGAAAGAGTTTACAGGGGACCCAAAAAAACACCCGTGACATGACTGAAAGACAAAGATTAACAGGGTAGAATATGGATAACATGGCAAAGCAACAAACGAGAAAGATGAAGAATATAACAAAGGCATCAGTCCTGAGAAAGGAAATATTTTTTTCTGAGGTGAAGCGAGCTGCAAATTAGGGAAAAGTTAGGCAGAATACCAGCTGGAAAAGGATTTCCTGGCAGAGAAACACAGTACAGGCAGTCCTCATCTTACGGCGTCTCGACTTATGGCGATTCGCACTTGCCGTGCTCCGCCATTTACACCCATGTTATTACCTATAGTGCTGGATCCTCGCACTTACGGCATGACGGCAACTCAGGCAGCACACAAACGTACATACTTCACCCAGTCAGTTTGCTTCCTGATGTGCTCCGGCACGTAAGTTTCTTGTATTCTTTGATTCTTAGTGCATGTTAAGCTTTTTTATATATTCAGTCCTTAAAAATGGCTGATAAAAGGAAAAGGCAGTGCTCTAGTGATGGTGACGGGCGCTGCACCTGGTCACTTGGCACAGGCTCACAGGGCTGGAACTGCTGCCTAGGGGCACAGGGCTCCTGGCTCTGACCCCAGGCGGGGCAGGACTCACTCCTGGGGTGGG